TCATTTTGACATTCTGTGTATGTTTATAGAATATTTTTTAATACATTGTAAGAATATTTTAATATTCTCGACGAATGTTTATAGAATATTTATTGAAAGTGTTTGTGTTATCTTGGATGTCTGTTTTACATTCATTTTAAAATAAATATAGTTTAGCATAAAAACGAGTAAAACGAATGTAGCCAAAAAATAAAAGTGTAAAAAGAAAGTCATTATTTTAGTCTTTTTATTTTTTTTATATGCTTCTTTAAGCATGTCACTAAGAATGTCTTTGCCTGTCACAGCTATAGGCCACCCCTGATCCAAGATATGATTTTGTAAGTCGCACACAAATATGATTCAAATTTGTACATTGTATTCCTCTAGATTTCTCTTTCTGTTCTCAACACGTTATCATTATTTTTTTATATTAAAAAATAAGACATGATAAATATATATATGTATATATATAATATATATATATATAAAATTACATTTTAAATATCTTAATAATTGTAAAAAATTAGTAGACTTAAAAAAAGCTTATATGATAATGTATAAGTTTTCTCATGCAGTACAGGAACAAAACTTTAGAGCTCCAGATGTATTAGAATAGCACAATAATTCTTTAATCTGAGCCGGATGCCTATTGTCTATTTTGATCGCATTTTATTTGATAATCTGTCGTTCAAGAAGTAATAAATAATAAATAACCTTAGTAAATAATCCAATAAAAATAAGTAAGCTTATTAAGTCTTTAATATATGATCATTAGAAAAAAATAGCAGACTTTTGCTACTCATGCAACTCTAGAGCTCTAGAAAAACACTTTTAGCGCCATCTCTTAGATCGTATTCAACTTTCTTTAGACATTACCAGAAAACATTGGAAGACGGAGATCAACGGAGATGCATTGAAAATATCTTTTTTATTACAAAGAATTGATTTCATATAAGAGATATTACAAAAATATTAAAAAATTCAAAATATTCAACTCTGCAAAATTTCAGATTGTTTCTCTATCTTTTCCTCTCTCATTTATTTATATTAGATTGGTACAAAAGAAAAAGTCGTATTAAAAAGGACTACAACTTTTATTATACAAAAAGTCGAGCGTTTGTACAAAAAGGTGTATTCTTATATATTACATCGCTTATAGTGAATTCAACGTTAAAACGTTTTACTCTGAGACACGAACGATTGATTGGAATAAAATAGCGTGATGCTTTAATAATAAGGAACACACGAACACGCGGCTGCGATCATTCCAACATCGATTCACTTAAAAGCGATTCACATACCTATCTGCCCCGCGATCACATACTGCGTCCCAATAGGACCGTAACAATATTTTCAACATACTACCTTCACACCTCATGCATACAAACCAGCTAATAATCGTCATATATATGTATATATATATATATATATATATATATATATATATATATATATATATATATATATATATATATATATATATATATATATATATATATATATATACATATATACACGCGCGCGCGCGCGCGTGTGTGTGTGTGTGTACATATTATGCGCATCGTTATCTCGCTAAAAAAAGAGGGAAGAACAAGAAAAGACCGACGTGGTATTTTCTCATATAGTCATTGCATCTTCGCAAAGATCGGCAAAAATAGGAAACAACTACGAGCAAGACTGAGAAAAAATTTGTCACGAGAAATGATGTTGAAATCTTCTTTAAATTCAATTCAGATTCGAAAAAGAATTAGGAGAATGTAACAGATCTTTCGAAATGTATTACAATTATTACATTCTCCACAAATTCTTCAAATCAAATAAAAAATTCATTATAAAATACAAATTGTTATTAACCACCGGTCTGCCAAGGAAAATGGGACCCTTTCAAAAAATTGTTCATAAAAATTATATATATATATATATATATATACACATATTATATTATAAATGTTTTTGATTGACAATTATCATTTTTTCTTTTTTAATATACACATTCTTGCAAATCGTTGATCTTTCATCAAATTACTATTAAAATTTATTAATACTCAAAAAACGAGTAACAATCTTGATAGACCGGCTGTTAATTTCACCTCAGCGATTTCGGGTGTTCGGCAAAAACAATAACGGAACCGAACGTTGACCGCTGCGAAGCCGATTGGTATATTCAGCGTAAGGAAACATCGGTGAAAAAACCTAATCGAACGCTTATCATCCCACCACCGTTTTGCATTTGTACTTTTACGATTCCACGCACGTTGCGGCAATCAATTTCACGGCAAAGTGATGCAGAAAACTAACACATGATCGACGAGACAATCTGCCATCATTGTCATCATCGTCGTGTACGTTCACGAAAAAAAACGCGCGTAAACACCTAAAGAATTAAGCTAAATCGCATTATGGTTACGAAGAAGTTTGAGCTGCCAACATTTCTTCCTGCTGTATTTTTCTCCGGTAGTTATCCAGTGTAACTTGTATAGTCTTCTCAGAGTAACGGCAGTTTTCGGCACCGCAGGTACATGTGAAGGACTTGCATTTTATTATCCAGAATTTCTCGCCGTAATCGAAGCTAGAGACAAACAGATCCATATTTGTCTATCGTGCGAAGTTAACAAAAAAGAGCGTGACGTAAAAAACGAGATGAGATTGGGTGTTTTCAGCAAAGACACAGTCAGACACAGTTTAACACAGTAAATATCATTATATCCTTGTTGTTTGCCTATATTAAACAAGGATGAAACGATTCACTATGTTACATAGTGATGCTGCAGTCTGACTGTGTCCTTGCTGGAAAATGCCCATTGTGAAATGTGTGAATACTCTTAAAAATACCGTCACCTTAATCCGTCGTGCGTTAATATTAGATACGCGTAAGTATGATAAATTGTATGTAATCGTTAGAAACGGATTAAATAAAAAGAAAGATCTCAAAATATTGCAAAAGTATATTAAAAAAAAAGAGATAATTTCTTAGAATTGCTTTAGCACTTTAGAGAAATAAATAATACAAAAAATAAAAAAATGAAAATAACACAGAGTATAATCTATTGAAAGATTATAAGGATTATTTAAACACTATTATACTAAACATCTTTATTGGATAAAAGTAACATTTGATCATTCTACATTAAACAAAAGGTAAATAGAATTGGATTATTTTACTATCAAAATATATATTTGAATCACGACACAGAATTAAAGAGACGAAATATGAAGTAACAAAGGTGAAAAAAATTACAATTACGTGCCATATTGTTGATGAAAC